GATTATTTTCAGTTCTTCTTCAATTCTTGTTTCATCACATATTACCCCACTTGTATTTATTCATCTTACAAATCTTTGGCATTGTACAACATCTCCCATTCATTATTAAAACAATTTTAGTAAATATTTTGTTAATGCTTTATCTATTAATCCTTTTAAACATGTGGTTTGTTAAATAGAGTTCATCCCATTCACTGACAATGAATCTAACAACTCTCCGTGTGTGGTGTTATAATTGTGAAACTGAAGTGTTTTTGAAGAATAACTATCCTGACTTGAAGTCTATCCTGGAACTGCGACGACGGAATGCCCATATAAGGTAGGTCATAAACTCCTTGTGCAGTATGCTTTCATGTGTAATGTAAACAATTTGTATTACTGTACTCGACCGCGTTAGCGCCCAGGGGCCTCAACTCACAAAATCGTGATTTTTTAGGGGTGGGGGCTAAAAGAAAAAGAGTGTAAATGAAAATTTGATTCATCATGTGACAGATTACGTCTTTGAGGAAAAATCAAATTACGAAATTAGTTGCGTCGTCATTGATTTTCACAAAGAAGAAACAGAAATGATCACAAAAAATATGCACATTTTATTACAATATTAATTACGTACCACCAGAATTTATGAAATTAAAAACATTTGAGTCTGTTGGAACATAGTCGAAGTCAAAATTCTCATCATTATATCCACTGATGAAGGTGTTAGATCGTACACAAACTCTCGATGAAAATCACTTTCCGCTATGATGCATTTGCAGATTTGACCTGCAGCAGCGTCCTTTGAACTAATGGGTCAAGTTGGTTATTAACCAATCAGAATGCTGTGTTGTACCGACGCAATGCAGAAGTGAATTATCGATGTCGAAGTACGATCTGTTGGAATTGATTTCAGCGAATAAACGACATGGTGTTTCCAAAAAACTAGTAACTAGCCAATTTTGAGAAGTAAACTGAATATGGCATGAAATATTTACCGCATTTTACTTGTATTAATAGGCCATTCTCGAAGCGTAGTTTACGCACGGTTACCGTGGTCTACGTATTCACAACATATTCACAGCGGTCGATATCCATGCTGTATCATATAAAAACGATTACCAAGATTCGTTACGCAAGACCAAGATTAAATTAGTTGCATTTTTAAAGGGTGGGCGCTTTGTCGAATGTGACCCCAAATATAAAAAATTTCGCAAAAGTGGGGGGTTGGCGCTTGCCTGGGCATGGGCGCTAACGCGGCGGCCGAGTATGTTACATTCACATGGGACCTAGTATCGATCACAATACAGTTGAGTTGAGTTGAGTCACCGCACAATTTAAAACATTGACATATGGGATATTCAGAACTAATACCGAGGGACCCAGTTTGGCCTTCCTAGATAAGTGCTTTGAATCACTTTTACACCAGTAAATATCAGTATATATGAGAGTAACATTTTTGGTTATGATAGAGTAATGCCCGAACATTTGAATCCATATTTTCTTATTGTTTGTTGTATGGTAAGTGAGGTTACACTATGTAAAATATCAAATATCACCTCAGTTATTTTGTTAAATTTTATAGGCATTTTGTAAAGACAACCTAAATGCAGTACCAAACTAAAACAAATAAATAATAATGACTAGAAGTTAATCAACTCCCATTTGCTTAATTAATGAGATGTGTCATACATACTAATAACTTGAATATTATTATTCACAGAGCACCACCAGAAGTTAATACCCAGAATTTTGATGATGATTCTGATTCTAACGATGATAATGATAGTGATGTCAAACCTAGAGGTTAGTGAGTTGCAATCATCCCATCTAGTTCTTGTCTTCAATTTTAATCTCTGCATCTTCTCTCATCTCAATGTTGTTTGAAGTAAGATACTTAGGTGATACATAGATGTCATCATTGTGAGTCAGCAGAGTGTTTGATTTAGTATTGACAGTCGTTGTGTTAATGTTGTATATGACTTCTTAATAGGACTAACTGGATTGAAGAATATTGGCAACACATGTTATCTGAATGCTGCCCTGCAGGCACTGTCAAACTGGTATGCAATCAATTCAAGTGTGCTTGATATTCTGTTTTATTATGACCATATTTAATTTTAATTTCTAATAAAGATATATTCTATATTGTGAAAATAACAACTAAAGGTCTGTTTTGAGGTCACAAATGTAACTACTGCAATTCTAATTGTAATTAGTAAATAAAAAATATAAGTGAAGGAAAAAAATTTACCTCAGTAGTTCTTGAAAAACAAGAAATACGTATTCTTGACTTCCATGGGAACAAGATTTTTAGTTTTCTCCTTACTTGTTTTGTACTCCAAAATGGTGGCCATCTTGTGAAAAAATCCAAGAGACTCATGGGTGAAATATTAGCTGATTGTTGCTGATAATCAGAGATATTGAAATGGTTATTTTCAAAAGTTGACTGGATAAATTTTTAGTCTACTTTTTTTCACTATTATCCCTTCTAAATTCATTTAAAATCACAGTTGC